TATTTATTAAATTTAGAGAGGTTAAGTAGAGTAGGCTATAGTCTCTATATATTCTATAGTAGAATAATACTTTTAGTATTAGGGGTATTACTATTATTATTATTATTATACTTAGGGTTAGGTATATAAATTATAAAAGTAGTAGTTTAAAAAGTTAGTTAAGCTATATTCTCTTATAGTATTTTAATTTATACTTTATATATTTTTTTTTATCTTATTTATTTTTTAGTAATCTATTAGAGTTAGTTTATAATTATTATAAAAGGGTCTATTTTTTAGGGTATATTTTTTATTATAGCTATATTAGCTTTTATTATTATTATTAATTACTTAATAGTATTTATATTATTAGTTACTTAATAGTATCTTCTTCTATAGTTTTTAAAGTAAGGCTTTAACTTATTATTATTACTATTATTTAGTAGAATCTTTGTTGTTACTAGTTAATTAGTAGTATCTTTTCTTTTAAGTTATTTAAAGAGTAAGGCTCTATATTTATTATTGTTAACTCTTTAGTAGTATTCTTCCTTCTAAATTGTTTAGAGAGTAGGGCTCTATCTATAGTATTAGAGATTAAAACCTAATGTAAGGGTTCTGTAAAGTAGTGCTACTTAATAGAGGCCTATGTATAAGAAGGTTTTAATAGGAAGAAGAAGAAGAAAGGAATCTAATTGGAAAGGGGTTAGAGTAGATATTTCTGTTAGTACTGTTGCTGTAGTTGTGCTGTTTGGGGTGCTGGCTGGCCTGTGCCTCTGAACTATCTCTATAGTACTAGTGTAGCGGTGTCTTGGCTTGGGCTCATGCCGAAGCTATATATATAGTATAGCCTATTATAAGGAGTTTTTAATAATTAAAAGTAAAATATAAAATAGTTTTAGTAACTTTATATTAAAATTATTTACTATTTATTTTTCTTTTATAAAAAATTAAAATAAGTAATTTTTTTAAAATTTATAAAATATTATATTTTAAATTATATATAACTATTATTAATTTTTATAATATTTAAATATATATAAGTACTATTTAAGTAATAAATAAAAATAGTTATTATAAAGCTAAGTAGTAAACTAAAGTAAAAACTATAATAAGTAAACTTAAATTATCTTTAAAAATAATTATAGAAAAAGTAAATATATTTTAGTAGATATTATAGCTATTATTAAGAAAATTATATATTTATAAAAAGGAAAAGGAATAAAAAGAATATTATTTAGTAATTTTATAAAGAAAATTTAAATATATAAAAAAAAGAAAAGTAAATATTAATAATAAAGATATTTAAATTTTTAATATATAAAATATATTAATAATAATTATTAATATTATAGAAAATACTTTTAAAAAAGCTTTTATTAATATTATTAATAATAATTTAGCTAATATTATTATATTTAAAATTTCTAGTTTAATTAATTAATAAATTATAATTAATTTAATAAATACTATTATATTAAAAACTTTTAGTTTAATAAAATAAAGTTATATAAACTTATATAAAAATACTTTTTTAAATAATATTAAAAATTTAGAAAATAATAATTTAATAATCTTTATTAAAATAATTATTATTATAGATCTAAAAAACTTAAATTTAAAATATTAAAGACTATTAATAATTTTAAAGATAATTATAATTAATAAAATATATAAAACTTATAAAAATATAAATAAAAATTAAAAACTTAAAATAAAAGATAATTTTATTAAATTATATAAAAGTTATTATTTATAGATTTATAATTTTTATAATAAATCTAATAATATTATTAGATTTATTATAAAAATTATAAATCTATAAATAATAATTTTTATATAATTTTAGTTTTTTAATTTTACTAAAAAATAAAATTTTTAATTTTTAAAAACTTATTTTTTAAAATTAAAATTTATTTTTAATTTAGAAATTAATTTTAAATTTATTAATAAACTTTATTTTTAAGTTTTTAATTTTTTTATATAATTTCTTAATATAAATTATAATTTTATTAAGTTTTTTATCTTTATTTATATTTTTATAAGTTTTATATATTTTATTAATTATAATTATTTTTAAAATTATTAATAGTTTTTAATATTTTAAATTTAAATATTTTTTAATAATATTATTAAAAAAAATATCTAAATTTTAAATATTATTAATTACTATATATTTTTTATAAAAGTTATTAAAATTAATTAAAATATAATAAAAATAATATATATTAATAATAATGATAATAATAATAATAAAAGTTTAGAAAATTAATTAATAAAAGGTTTTTATATATTTATAAATAAAATAATAAAAATAAATTAATAATATATAAGATAATTATAAGGGAGTAATAATTAGTATAATAGATTAAAAGATCTACTAGTTTTAATACTATATATTAGAACTGCTTTTTTACATCTACTTAAGAACCCTCTTAATTGTGGTGTGACTAGCTACTTCTAGGTATTCTATTATAATTCTTCCCCCTCTAAGTAGGCTCATCCTGAGCCTCAAATAGAGCTAGCTAAGATGTAATTAGTAGATGTAAACCCCTAAGGGATATGCTGCGAGGCACCCCTTGTGAGCCTGATGAAAGATTAATGCAGCCATATGCCCAGGTGTGCCTCTTATAACACCTACCACATCATGCCCTGTAATAGCTATACCCCACAGGCTGTATAGGAAAAAACCCTCTATACTAACTAGGTTTTAAACTAGCAATCACACACACCTAGCCCAAATTGCTTAATCTAGTAGACCTATATGGTGTTGGAATAATTGTAAGATAATTATAAGGGAGTAACAATTAGCATAATAGACTAAAAGATCTATTAGTTTTAATATTATATATTAGAACTGCTCCTTTATATCTATTTAAGAATTCTTTTAATTATAATGTAACTAGCTACTTCTAGGTATTCTATTATATAATATTAAAAAAAGTATAATAAATAAAAAAAGAAAATTTATAAATTATAAATAAAGTAGAAAATAATAAGTAAAAAGTAATAAAAGATAAAATTAGTAATAAAAAAAATAATATAATATTTTAAATAAAAAATAAAGATTTAAAAGTAAAAGTTAAGATTTTAAAAAAATAAATTAAGAAAATAAATAAAAATATAAAATAGAAAAAAGGTAATAATAATAATA